TTACAGAAGAAGAAAGAAGAGGAGAAGGCTAAAGAGAAGGAGCTGAATGATCTGTTCAAGGTCGCGGTTAGCCAACCTAAAGTCCCAGTCGGTAGGATTTTATTATTATTATTTTTTGGCTTAATTGCAATTGGGTGTTTTTGCTACGTTAAAGTGTCAAATTGAAGTCGTTTTTGTCTGGGAAAGTGAAGAAATGAATTGTTTCGTTTAATTTCAACTGAGTTTACGGTTAAATAGCTGGAAGGAGAAATAAAGGGATTTGGGGGATTTTCTCTTCGGTCTAGGGGTATAATAATCAGATGATGCGTTTGAAGCAGAATTCTAAATGTTGATGTAACCTTTTAAAGTTAGAAGATGGAAACATTGAGTTATTTTTTGGGCATATTTAAACTTCAAGGTCTCGAAGATAAATGTTGGTGAAACTTTACGTTATTGGAGTGCAACTAACCCTTTCTTGTTTTTAGTTCTTTTTTGTTGATGGAAATTTTATTCTTTCTAGGTGTTGATCCTAAGTCGATACTGTGCGAATTCTTTAAGGTTGGGCAGTGCGCCAAGGGTTTTAAGTGCAAGTTTTCACATGATTTGAATGTGCAGAGGAAAGGAGCTAAGATTGATATTTATAGTGATAAGCGTGATCAAGGTAAGGAAGTGTATTGGTTATTGATGGTTTTGATTACTTAATGAAGTTCTCTTGATTGTTTATTTTGGGATTTGGATTTTGTTTTGGTTAGAGACAATGGAGGATTGGGATCAGGAGACATTGGAGAAGGTTGTTGCACAGAAGAATTCGGAGTATCAACAAAACAAGCCAACTGAGATTGTATGTTATATGTTGCCTTTACCTGCTTTTCGTTGTACCAATGTTTTTTTTTAACTTGGCACTAGAAAATATTAATGTATGCTTTATTTGGGTCAGATTGTTGAAGTTTGTCAAGGTAATTGAGAAATTTTTGCTATAGGCTGAATCGGCTGATATATCTTTATTGAGTTGCTTAGAGTAGTATATAACCTGAATGTATTGCATGAGAGTCTTGTAAATATTGCTTATATATTTAGGGTTTTTTCTTCTAGAAACCATCTTTGAAATAGAGTCATTCTATAGAAACCACAATTGATTGTCAATTTGTACGCAAACCACCTTTAAAAGGTGTTTTGTTGCAATCAACCACATGAACCCACTTTTCAGTTAAGTTTTCCAGTAATTGACTTCGCCTAACCTCAATTAATGATCCTTTCTAATGTTCTTGGTATTTAACAACTAATTATTACAACAAAAAAGTGTTTAAAGGTGGTTTTTATATAAAATAACAATCAAAGATGTATAGGATGGTCCTATTTTTAAAGGTGGTTTCTAGGAAAGAACCCTATTATTTAAGTGAAGAACTTATGATTTCCTTGTAAACTACACATTTACTTTTTTACTTTTTTGTGTGGTATCCATAGACCTACAATATAAATCAAGAGCTTATACTCTTATATTTTTAGCTTTCATAAATAACATATCTTTTAGTCGAACTGTTTTAAATGGTATTTTTTTCTGATTAGCTTAAGAAGACATTCCCAGAGCACATGTTGTGCAAACAGTTAGACTCGTCATTTTGTTACTTTTTTTCTTTTGAAATTGAATGCTTGCACCCTTTTTCTTTCACTTGTGGGTAATTGGAAGGGTTTTATTGTTAACATACTTGTCACAAGGTATTTTTGCCAAATGGTAAGTTATAACAACAATATTCATGAGGTCCCAAGGATGCATGACCCTCGGTATCCCAAGCTAACCTAACACTTAATCTCTACCTAGGGACACCAAATGAGGATTAGCTTAACTTCAACATCTAACAACCGAAATAGAATAAGAAAGATAACATAATAGAAAGGTCTTTTATTATGAAAGCCCATAATACTAAGAGGCGCAAGAGTGATGAATAACCAAATGTAAATACATGCAGTAACCCAAGGCTAACCCATTTGTTCCCTTAGAGAATATCCCAAAACATATATATAATAAAAGTTCACCATAGTAAAATGACTCTTGGCAAGGAGCCTATCTAAAGAAAGAAAGATAGAAATAGATAGGTAATTCTGGAAGGCTTACTTTCTAAGCAAAAGAAAATATCAAGTTAGTGCTGCTAACTCTTGCTTCTTAATGATCTGGAAAACGTATGGAAAACTATAAGTTTTCAGTTTATGCGTGGAATCACTTCATCAAATTATAATAAGAATACCACATGAATTAATATTTTATTATTAGGTTTTTAGTGGTTTATGCATTGGAGAAAGTGTGATGTAAGCAAAAAAAATGGTGGCAATACATGCTTATGTTCATATCCAGGAATTATTTGTAAATAAAACACATTAATAGCAATGATACAATACAAGTACATGTTTACTTCAATTGGCTTTATATCCAATAATGTGTACTGTTTTCCAAATAATTTCGATATGAACATGAGCATTTCTTGATGACACCCATTCTAGTTATTTGTTGTGCTTACATTAAGCCTCTTCTATGCTTAAACTATCAAAAACCCGATAATAAAATATTTAGTCACATTTTTAAATTTAATTTGATGTGATTTCACTCATAGAGCCCACGGCTTATATTTTCCCATGTACATTTTCAGTTTTTTAAGAGGTTGGAGTTGGCGGCGTGGTTTTGAGATTTTCTTTCACTTGGAGAGTATATGTTCAGGGATTTCCTCTCAATTTTTTCGTCTCTTCTCTAGATGTGCTCCTTCTCAAATCTAATCTTTATGTTATTATTATTTTTATTTTTTTTCCATTTTGAAGAGTCTTCACTCTTTTGTGGTGAACTCTTATTGTATATTTTTAGGGAAATCTTCTTTTGAGAAGAAATAATTTGGATCCAGGTTACAGTGCATATTTATCTTTTGCGAGTAAAAGGATCTTATATTATGACATGTTTTTTTCCTCACTTGTTGGGTGCTGAGGTCAAGTTGATCCTCGTTGGTTTTATACTATTTAGGTAGGCATTAAGTAATAAGCTAACTAGGGATCCTCCCTAGAGCGGTAGAGCCAATCATGAATATTTGCAGGTTGTGAAAAAGTCGGTATTATATATACATACATGTTTGATTAAAAGAGAGGTGATGTATCCTCCATGCTTTGCGCTGGTGTGTCACTGATGTGTCGTAGATCCAGACCGTTTGTTATGATCTGAGAATGCTAGATCATCAAGGCTGTTGTGGTTAGGATGTGTGCCACACCAACCAAGAGTGTGAGAGTCACCAGGCCTCGTTTACACCCACCCATGCATGCATACGTACACACATATACTATGATTCTAGGAAATGATGTTTTTCCATTTTTGTATGGTAGAATGGCTGCATTGAGTGGTAGAAAAAATGAAGCGATTCCTCATTCTCCAAGAGAACAAAACTCTCTCTCTCTCTCTCTCTATAACCGTATGCATGTGTGTGTATATATATATATGTGTGTGTGTGTGTGTGTGTATCTGCAAATATAGATAACTTTGTTAAATGAGCTACAAAGTGATGCTAATTGGTATTGAGACTTAATTAAGCAAATTGAGCTGCTAGGAGATAAGGTTGGCGGGTTTCACCTTCTTCGATGTGACTCGGATGAACAATAATATCAGACTATCTCTCTATAGATCATTTTGTAACTGTGTTGTCACCTCATCTCCATTTCTTTGTGTGCTTATATACACATAGACAGTCACACACACACACATACATACATGCATGCGTATGTGTGTTCCTGCACATGTTTCATCTTTCACCCTCCTGTGATCAAAGTGCTTTGGTTTTCAATCACATATTTTGTTCTCGTTGGTAGCAACCTTGATATTTTGTTGCATGGCAGCTGTTTGCAACTTTCAGTCTCTTGGGGCCAATGTGCCTTGGGTTTTACTTGATTTTTTGTTTTTGTTGGGTGTAACCCTGACATTTTGTTGTGTGGCGGTCATTTGCTTGACTTTGGTGTGCAGACGTTCTAAAACTTCATATTTACTGGGAGATGATTAGAAGCATGTAGACTGGTTAATTCTCTGCTCCAAGCACTCAACCAAGACTAGGAAGTCAGTCATTTGGTTATAGATCAATTCCAAACAAGAACCAACATATTGGTTGCCTGGTGGCTATTTGCAAGCCGGGATCTGATGTTTGAACATTTTGATTCTTTATAGTTACTAGAAAGACAACTAGAAGGAAATTATAATGGTTTAAGTCTTTGGACTAAGCATTCAACCAAAAATTGGAAGTCATTTGGTGCGAATACTTGTTGTCGATCCGTTATTTGTTATACAGGGATATTTTGTTTATAGAAACCTCAAGCCTGATCCTGCTGGAACTTCTCATTCAATTAATTAATTGTTTTATTTTATTTTTTGCCTGGAAAGTGTCCTTCCATATTATTAAATTTGCTGAGCCTAATAGTTCTTAATATTTGCATACTCCTTATTTCTTTGAAGGGGCTGTTTGGTTGTTTTCCGAAAAAAATCGGAAATGGAAATGTCACATTTCATTTGCTTTCATCACATTTCAAGACATTTCCCAGTTTTCTTTTTTTCTGTTTGTTTCGCAAAGAAATCACCCCATTTCACCGCCATGTCACACTAAAAACAAAAAAGCCGCAATAGTAACAGTAGAATAGATTTCCATTTCTTGTGTTTGTTTGTGAACAAAAAAAAAGAAATATAGGTCAGCCGCAATAGTAACAGTAAAATCAGCATTTAAATAATCTGTTTTATTCTCTTATACTATTTCAACAGTGCTTTTATTAATTAAAGATTCATAGAAGTGACATTTCCAAGTGTTTTCAGAGGTTTTTGGTGTGAAAACACATTTCTTAAAATTTGACATGGCATCCTACGTGGCATCCCCCTTTTCTTAAAACTCAAAATGAAACAAACATGTGAAATGGAAAACGGTTGAAACCAAAAGGGGGGGGGGGGTTCTCATTTTTTTGGGCAAACAAACAGCCCCGAATAGTAAAATTTGTGCGATCAGTATCTCATAACTCTGCAAATAGGTTGAGGCATTTCACTTGATCAGGTAGTACTTTCTCTGGTTGCTTTCAGAAGTCATTGTGGCATGTCTTTTTGGGTCCCGATAATAGTGATGCATTGTTGTGTGACTTGTGTCCAAGTATAGTTTTCATGCATTGTTGTGTGTGATTTGTATCCAAATATAGTTTTATTGACGACTTTTATATCTGCCCTTGATAAGTTCAGAGATGAAACAAAATAACATTAATAAATAATTTTCAGGATCTCACTTTCGGTTAAAGGATTGAAAGAGAAGGGTATAACGGGAAACTGATTTTGTTTTGTCTTAGCTGGATAGTGGATAGTAATCTTAGTTCTTTCAGTAAGTGTATGTTAACCTTAAATGGCTCCTAGAAGTGACGAGAATGTTTACTTTAAGCATATTCATCTATTAAGAAATATTTGAATATAAAGTTTGTTCTACCATAGTCATTTGTTTTCTAAATCATTTGTTTGACAATAAGAGTAATATTAGAACTTCTGGAAGAGGATCTAAACTGTTAACTAGAGTTTAAGTACATGCAATGAATTACGCGATGTTGGTTCTATTTCCTTTGTCGCTCATGTTCAGGGATATTTATGCAGGTCTGTAAGTATTTTCTGGATGCAGTGGAAAAGAAACAATATGGCTGGTTCTGGATCTGTCCAAATGGTGGAAAAGATTGCCACTATCGGCATGCTCTCCCTCCAGGATATGTCCTGAAATCTCAGATGAAGGCCTTATTGGAAGAGGAGACAGAAAAGATAAGCATTGAAGAGGAGATAGAAAACCAGGTACTATAAATGTTTTTCTTTTACTTACTAGTATAACAATTTTTTTGTGGGCTATGACACATTCTTTTTTGTAAATGATTATTGTAATATTCACATTTCACAACTGAATGAGTTACTTCCTCGTAGCGTGCCAAAGTTGCTACTACCACTCCTATGACGCCAGAATTGTTCTATCAATGGAAGAAGAAAAAGATGGAAGAAAGAGAAGCTGGTCTTGCTGCAAAGCAGGCAGAAAGGGCAAAGAATGACCGAATGAGGTATTTTCTTTAATATGTTTCCATACAAATGCAAGTTTCTCAGAATAGTCATATTTGTCAATTAAAATATGTTGGTTTTTTTTTCAGTGGCCGTGAGCTGTTCATGTCGGATGCTAGTTTGTTTGTGGATGATGATGACGCCGAAGCATATGAGAGATACCAAAGAGAAGATTCTGATGTTACTGGAGGAAAGGTGAGTCCTTGATTTCACTAAATTTTTTCTCTTCAGTTGGTTCTAGGCTACTGATTGTCTATTTTGTTTGCTCACTGCCTCTTGGTTTTGCTTTTGTTTGGCTTTTGGGTATATTTACCCCTTAAATCATCAACATTTGCAAAATTACCCCCAAATGTCAGTATTTATTAAACTACTAAATCATCAACATTATAAAAATAAAAAAATAAGAAAAATAAAAGGAAAAAGAAGAGAACCATATCAAATGATGTATATTGGACTACGGGTAGCTTTATACTTTCTTAATTCAGCCAGCCAAGATGATAACAACAATAATAAAAGTCCCCGTTGGATAATTAACGTTGAGGGGATACTTTTCCAATGTTGATGACTTGGGGATAGTTTTGTAAATTCTGAGATTTGAGAGGTAATTTAACAAATATTGATGATTTAAGGGGTAATACAGAAAACTCTTTGTTTAAAGCACTAAGCCCAAAACATAAAACCATAGACATATGTGAAGACATTTTCACTTGCCACATCGACAAAAATGATATCATATAATGACTTGTTTTATTTTGTAATTTCGAGCTACATGTGTATCCTCTATGCTGTGGCTGACCATCCTAAGCCTTTCTAAACTTTTATGTTCATACAAGAGATTGAGAGAATTCCTTTGCATCCGATGCTAAATGTCATTGAAGTTGTTGCAGTGCAAATTTAAATTTTCTATTTCCTATAGCTTCTTTTCTTGTCCGACAATTATCTGTAAGAATAATTATGTTCATCTTTCGTCTGTGGATATTATGTCATTATATTTAGGATTAGGGTCCGTTTGGATAATGGAAGTATTAGAAGTAAGAAGTAGGTTATAGAAGTAACTTTCAAAGCTATGAAGTAGGAAGTAGTGGAAATAGCATTTTTTTTGTTTGTTTCATATTCTTTTAGAAGTAATGGAAGTAGAACTTCTTCCTCTTCATTTACTTTTTTTGTTTGGATAACATTTGGAAATATTATTAGGAAGTAATTTTATTAATAAAAAGTAGTTAGAAGTAACTAATAAAAGAAATATTAATAGAAAAATTATTTATGTTATAATTAATATGCATTTCAACTACTTCCGAGCTACTTCTGAGTATTGAGGATTGGAAAAATATTTTGGAAGTAAGGATGACATGTAGGCGCCACATAAGCATTTAGGGAAGTATTGGAAGTAAGTTTTTCAGAGAACCAAACACACTTTTTTGCTTGGAAGTAGCAGAAGTAGTCTCTACTTCTTTTACTTCAGCTACTTCACAATTACTTCCGTGCAAACAAACAGGTCCTTAGTCGCAAACACACCCACTGTAGTATGGTGGTGCCTCAGTATATCCCCAGAACTATTTTACTTGTACTAACAGTCCATGAAACTCCAATTTGTCTCCTGTTTGGTTGAGATGTCACATGGAAATCACCTAATAGTAAATTATTTTTTGCTCTCAATTTAACTGGGAAAGACTAAATTGTCCCCTAAATCGATATCTAATGGATTTTGGTGCGTTGTAGGTTAAGAGCGAGGGAGGCTCTGAGGGCACAAGTACCTTGAATCATTTTGATAAAGATGCTGAAGAAGCGCTCGCAGAAGAGGATGATGATGACGAGCTCGACTTAGACGAACTTGAGGAGCTAGAAGCAAGCCTTTCTAAGACATCGCTTCAGATTCATGAAGCAGGCATCGGAGCCTCATCTTGAAGAGGCTTCAACTTTCCATATTTGTTCCAAGTTCTTGTAACATTGTTGAGGTGAAAGCATTTTTCGTGGACTCTGTTTTTATGTGAATCAAGTGTAATTTCTCATTGTGTTGGAGAAGCAAGTTTTGATGCAGCTTTTCTCATCATGGGGAGGTATTGGAGTATGGGGAGTAGCTTTTCTCATACCATTCTTTTTGGGTTCATCTTTATCTTTCCTTGACCCCATTGAATTATTTACTAGCTCTGGAGATATTTATTAATAATAAATTTGTATGGTGCGATGGTTGGGTGACTCGCAAGAAACAAGGTTTTCTTGTCCGTTTTACTCGTTGCATGGGCATATTTACACTTCTCCCATGTGTCATAAGACCCATGGTTCTCATTGATGAGTGCTGGAAGAAAATGGAAGCAACCGAATATAAAAGATTTCTCTTTTTCCCAATAAAAATAATCAGCTTGTTTCAAGATCATTTTCTATTGATTTTTCAAGAAACTTAGATCATTTTCTATTGATTTTTCAAGAAACTTGAGGGTTGCCCGAATGAGCTGGCCGAGCAATTGTTTTAATAATAATAATAATATTATTATTATTATTATTATCCGCCCATTTGAAGGAACAAGGAAAAGGAGAAAACTCCCAGTGTAATTATCACTTATTTCCTCGTCTTAAAGAGCCGAACCGATACACACAGCTCCGGAACTGTGATGCGGATTGAAGGAGGATTGAGGGCTAAAAATTTTTATGTTACACAACACATCGACATCATAATCTCAAACTTACATGGACCATAAAAACCTTCTCTCTACAGAAATACTGCCAACCGATCAGCAAACAATACACTTAAACAGTGTTTATTCAAGTTAAAAAAAAAAGAAAAAAGAAATACAGAGAACTCATTAAACCCATATTACCTATACAGTCTTCACTCTAGAATCATAATAAGGATCTAACGATTAACCCCCTTCGGCCTCATTGTTGCTTTCAACGTTGGAAGTTTTAGAGGAGCGACCATCGTTGCCTTGGCCTTTGCTCTGCTTCCTTGCTCCAAGACAAGAGGATAAATTTGAGAAATAATCGCCGAGCTCATGGGCTATATCTTTCTTTACCTTCCCCCTCACTGGAAATGGATTCCCATGTCCAGCCCTCTGTGGGTAGTTGGCATTTGAGTTGCTTGCCATTACTTAGATTTTGTAGAGAGAGAGAGAGAGAGAGAGAGAGAGAGAGAGAGAGAGAGAGGATAATGGGGACCTGAGAGAGTAGAAGAAGAGAGTGCCCTTTTTATATAGGGATGCAAGTCCAATTTGGTTGCTTTGGCTTGAAGTATGTATTCAGGCTGTTTGGTTGCCCAAAAAAGCTAGAAAATAGTACTAAGGGCTGTTTGGTTCGCTAAAAAAAGTGAAGAACCCAACTCCCCTCCACACACACACCCACACACGGGCGCACACACAACTAAACATTAGAAAATAAGGGAATTTATTCACGCTTTCTTCTTTTTTTAAGTTGAACCAAACTAAAAAAACGTGGTGGAAATTACTTATACCCTATGTTTTTTGGCAAAACAAACACAAGAAATATTTTTCGATGAAAGTGAGGGAAATACCAAAAAGTGAAGGAAGCATGTTCTTAGAAAATTATGGAAAGCGATTAAACAGTTCCTTGTAGAAAAACCGTTTCTCATAATATTTTTCTTTTCCAAGTTTGGTTTCCACTGGAAATCAAGAAGTAGATTGAAATGATGCCTCTCTTATTGATTGATTTGACTCTAGTTAAATTTTTTTAGGGGCCGTTTGGTTCACACAAAATTTATTAAAAATGACTGAAAAAGAAAGAAAATGGAGAAATAAAATATATTGCTGTAAGTTCTTCATAATTCTTTTTTGTTTGGTTCACACCTTGAAACCAAGAAAAGTGGTGACGTGCCAACTTCTTATTAGTTGATGTAACCCACATTTGAGGATACCCATTTGATAGGTTTTGTTGAGGAAATTGAAAAAAAAAACACTTGTTTGATGGTCTCCTGACCTCCTTCATTTTTCTTTGATTTTTAAAAAAAACAACCAAACATGCCCTTAATAGAAAATGAGTTGAAATTATTTGTGGAGATTTCTTCACCCAATTTTCTTTTGTTGAATTTATGAGAAATGAACCAAAGAAAAGGGGAAAATCTTTCTATACCGAAATCAAGGATAAGTTTGTTCAAATTTGCGGAGAGTAAGTACTAAATGGTTGGTATGGATTTTAAGGGTTTTGACCGATTTCTTTTAGCTAAAGTTGCATTGGTATATGATTTTTTAACCTCTATTTAGATATGTGAAAAATATTTTAGAGGATAACCTAATGCAATTGTACTTTCTGTAAAAATATATTTCATAAGGATATTACTAATTACGGTGTAGAATTCATAATATTTTTGTACTACAAAACACCAATGTCCAAAGCCTCTCTTCGAAAATTGCCATATAAATTATGAGTATTTGTGAAGTTTGTACTCATGTTTCATAATATAGGATAAAAGTAGTTTTGGAATGATGGTATAGCTAGCATTACCTAATTCACAATTCAATACTGCCTTATGGATTGAGAAGAAGCAAAACCTAGGTTCTGTTTGGCAAGTTTGAAAATAATCAAGATTAGTTTTGAACTAGCTTCACTTGGCTTTGTGAACACGTGACCGCGTTGAGGAGGCGTTGCGGATGAAAGAAACCGGCCCACGAATTCATCAGGCTATAAATAGCCATATAATTTATGCCCTAGGTGTGCAAGGCGGGAGAAATTTGGCAGGCGGCGTGCAAAGAAGGGCTTCTGACTTGGGCAGCGTGCATTGCAGGGTTCGTGAGCAGAGAAAACATAACCCGACTTTGTGATTTTTTTTTGAGCAGCCTTGTTAGGGTTTTTGTGTATTCTTTTGAGAGAGATATTTGTATGAGGGATCTGAAAGTTTGTGTGAGGGTTTAGATTGAGTGATTGTAAACCGTATTGTATTCTCTCCCTCTATTTGTAGATCTCCCCCCTCCTTGCCTCGTGAACGTAGGCAATTTGCCAAACCACGTAAAATTGGTTGTATCTCTACTGGTGTGATTTGTAATAGCTTTTAGGTTCCCTCGACAGGTCAGTCCTAGAACTGATGAGAGGAAGAGCTAATATCTCACTTGGTTGAGATATTTTGCTTCAGATTCTTGTTTCTTTGGTGAGACGGGAATTCTTATTGCGACCTGACTCTCTTGTTGTGCTGCTGAAGTGCTGCCGAAATTTTCGCTGCGCGCAACAAGTAGTATCAGAGCACAGATTTCAGATCTAGAGTTTTTAGAGTTTGGTGGAGGAAGATTCTTGTGTGAAGCTTGGTTCTTGGAGTTCTAGGCTTCGGTGGAGATAGCATTAGAAGTTGTCGTTGGAGATTTCGTTTTTCTCGTGTGGATAGGATATCTATTTGGAATCCGGTCTAGGGTTCAGTTGGGTGGTTCCTATTTTCTATCAAATTTGTTCTTTCTCTATAATTTGGAGTTAGTTTGCAATGGGAGAAGAAGGTGAAAGCAGCAAGTCGATGACGAGTATAATACAAGTTGGTTTTCAGAATACTAAGATTAGTGTGGTGAAGTATGACGGTAAAATCAACTTTAGTTTGTGGATGAGCAACGTACATGATGCGCTCAATGCTCAAAATTTGAAAGAGACCATCATGGTCCACGAGAGGCCACCTAAATATGATGAGGCGATATGGGAGAAGATGAATAGGAACGCGTGTGGGGTGATCAGGTCCTGTTTGGAAAAGGAACTGAAATATGATGTGATTGGGGTGACGTCTGCAATTAAGATGTGGGAAATTCTCAACAATAAGTATCTCACGAAGAGTGTTGAGAACATGTTGCATTTGCTGCGAAGACTCTTCAGATTTCAGATGTTCAGAGGCACCTCGCTAGCGGCTCATGTGAACAACTACACTAAGTTGTTGTCGGACTTGGTGAATATTGACGAGAAGATATCGGATGAGTACAAGGCGATTATTTTATTGGGCTCCTTACCGGATGAGGAGTATGATACCTTCGTACTCACTTTGTTGAACGGGAGATCTTCTATCAGCTATAGTGAAGTGACTAACGCATTGACCAATTACGATTTGAGGAGGAAGGACAATGAGACTTCCCGAGCTAGCACTTCAGACGAGACCTTATCGACGAGAGGTAGAAGCCCATATCTGAAAGGTGGTAATAGAGGGAGGTCAAAGTCAAGAAGCCGCTACCAATTAGTAAAGAACCAATGTGCATTCTGTAAGGAGCAGGGATATTGGAAGAGAGACTGCCCGAAGCTCAAGGAGAAAGAGAATGACAAGAAAAAGGGCCCAAAGGCCAATGAGGTGAATATTGCGAAAGGTGACGATTCCGACGATTCGTATTTTTCTCTACTGATTACTCTGGAGGTGAACCATGTGGATGCATCAGATTAGATGCTTGATTCCGGCGCTACTTATCAAGTGCCCCTAGGCGAGACTGGTTTGCATCTTTTGAGAAAGTCGATGGGGGTGTTGTTGTTATGGAAAATGATCAATCCTGTAGCGTTTGTGGGATAGGTACCGTGCGGATTAGGATGCACGATGGAGTAGTCCATGAGTTGAAGGAGGTGAGATTTGTTCCTTAACTGAAGAAAAATCTTATCTCAGCTGGAGCTTTGGAGGCAAAGGGATTCAAGGTGACTTTCGAAAATGCTGTAGCGAAGGTTACTAAGGGATTATTGGTAGTGATGAGGGGAGTCCGTAATCGGAATTTGTATTATCTGAAGGGAAGCACTGAGATTGGCCAGGTTGCTTCGGCTATTTCAGAAGCAGACATGAGCAGACTTTGGCACTATAGGTTGGGGCACACAGGTGAAAAGTCACTGCAGGCATTGTACAAACAGGGGCTAATAAAGGGAGTCAAGAGTGGGAAGATTGAGTTCTGTGAGCACTGTGTTCTTAGTAAGAAGACGAAGGTACAGTTCGGGACTGCCATTCATCGGACGAGGGGCATCCTGGATTACGTGCACACAGATGTTTGGGGTCCCACCAAGAGTGCATCACTTGATGGTCGACATTGGTTTTTCACGTTCGTTGATGACTATTCTAGGCGTTGTTGGGTGTACACCATGACGAAGAAGAGTGAAGTCCTAGATTTGTTTGTGGAGTGGAAGAAGAGATTGGAACTGCAGATTGGGAGAAAGATCAAGACGTTGCGATCCGACAATGGTGGTGAATACACATCAGACCCCTTTATGCAGCTATGTTGAGACGAGGGCATACAGAGACACTTCACGGTTAGTCA